ATTTTTTTTTTACTGATTTATTGAGCTATATATATTTCTCTGCTTCCTTCCCTTCTTCCCCCCTCCCTCTTCTATGGTCTCCATGCTCCTGATTATCTGAAGAGATCTTGTCTTTTTCTAATTCTCATGTAGATTCTCATGTTGTCTCTCTTAGGGTCCTCATTATTTATTGCCTAGGTTCTTTGGGATTGTGAATTGTAGGCTGTTTTTCTTTGCTTTATGTCTAAAAGCCTTATGAGCAAGTACACAGGATGTTTGCCTTTCTGCATCTGAGTTACCTCACTCAATATTATGCTTTCTGGATACATCCATTTGCCTGAAAATCTCAAGATGTCATTATTTTTCCTGCTGTGTGGTATTCCAATGTGTAAATGTACCACATATCCTTATCCATTCTCGGTCAAGGGGCATTTAGGTTTATTCTAGGTTCTGTTATGACAAACAATGCTGCTATGAACATAGTTGAGCACATATCATTGTGGTAAAATTGAGAATCTTTTGGGTATATACCCAAAAGTGTAATTGCTGGGTGTTGAGGAAAGTTATTTCCTAATTTTCTGAGAAATCGCAATACTGATATTCAAAGTGATTGTGCCAGTTTGCACTCCCACCAGCAATGCAGGAGTGTTCCCTTTACCCCACAACCTCCACAGTATAAGTTGTCATCAGTAATTTTGATCTTGGCCATTTTTACAAGTTTATGAAGGAATCTCAGACTTGTTTTGATTAGCATTTCCCTGATTGCTAAGAACGTTGAACATGGTGGCGCACGCCTTTAATCCCAGCACTCGGGAGGCAGAGGCAGGCGGATATCAGTGAGTTCGAGGCCAGCCTGGTCTACAAGAGCTAGTTCCAGGACAGGAACCAACAGCTATGGAGAAACCCTGTCTCAAAAATCCTAAAAAAAAAAAAAAAAAAAAAAAAAAATCTGAGCTAAGAACGTTGAACATTTCTTAAATGTCTTTCAGCACTGGACTGAGCTCCCAAAGTTCCAATGAGGAGCAGAAGGAGGGAGAACATGAACAAAGAAGTCGGGACCACGAATGGTGCACCCACCCACTGAGACAGTGGAGCTGATCTATTGGGAGCTCACCAAGGCCAGCTGGACTGTGACTGAAAAAGCATGGGATAAAACCGGACTCTCTGAGCATGGCGAACAATGAGGGCTGATGAGAAGCCAAGGACAATGGCACGGGGTTTTGAACCTACGCAATGTGCTGGCTTTGTGGGAGCCTAGCCAGTTTGGATGTTCACCTTCCTAGAAATGGACGGAGAGGGGAGGACCTAGGACTTCCCACAGGGGAACTCTGACTGCTCTTTGGACTGGAGAGGGAGGAGGAGAGGAGAGGGGGAGGGGGAGAAGGGTGGGAGGAGGAGAGGAGTGGGGGGAGGGGGAGAATGGTGGGAGGAGGGGGAGGGAAATGGGAGACTGGGAGGAGGTGGAAACTTGTTTTTTTTTTTTTTTTCCTCTCCTTTTCTCAATAAAAAAAAATGGAAAAAAAATGTCTTTCAGCCATTTTAGATTCCTCTGATGAGAGTTCTCTGTTTAGGTCTGTACCCGATTTTTTTTACTGGATTATTTGTTCTTTTGATGACTAATTCCTTGAGTCCTTTTGTATGTATATTGGGTTTTTATTTGTTTTTTTTTTTAAAGAGAAAGTTGAGTTTTTAAGAAAATGGATTGGATTTGAAAGGACTTGCAGATGAGTTGAATATGTGTACATATATTCTACAATATTGTACAAAATAAAGTGAACAAAATTCTCAAAGCGCTATTAAGATTTTTTAACAGATTTATTTATTATGCATACAGTTTTCTGCCTGCACTACAGAAGACAGTAGATCTCATTATAGATGGTTTTCTTCACCATGTAGTAACTGGGACTTGAACTCAGATTCTCTGGATAAGCTGTCAGCGTTCTTAACCTCTGAGTCACCTGGGAGGTAGAAACAGGTGGCCCTTTGCATCCAAGGCCAGCCTGTTCTACAAGAGCTAGTTCCAGACAGGCACCATAGCTACACAGGGGAACACTGTCCCAAAAAAAACCCCCAAAACACCAAAAAATTAATTTTTTAGATTTCTATTAACAAATTTTTAATGTTGACACTAAAATTACAGATTTATAATATCATCATTTGTTACATTTCAAGAACAAAATATAAGTACAAGCAAAATATTTAGGTACTGTAAAATATTATAGGAACATTACCCTTTGGCAAGTATTCAGTTCATATTCTATGCAGTCCTTGAACTAAAACTCCCCTTGCTTCAGCAGCCCAACCCTAGGTCTCTAGAATTAAAGGTATGAGCTGCCACACCCAGCTAACCAGTCCCTCAGGGAAGCTTGTTGTGGAGATTTGCTTGTGGAGTTTGGCCTCAGAGTTAATTCAATCTTCCATCCAGTCAGAACACTGGTACTGACAAAGGGCCACAAATGGGATGTGTTCATGAAAGCAACCATGGGAGGAAGTGGGCGTGGTCTTTAGAGAGTATATAAGGACACACCAGAGCTTAGCCTGGTGCATTCTTCACCAGAGCAGATAGAGAGTGTTTCCACACATTCTGGCTCTTCAACCGGTGGATCTATCTTCTGCATACATTGAGGATTGAACCCTAGAGCTGAGGAAATCGTGTGGTGTTCTCATTCAGCACTGCTGAGGCCAGAGACAATTCCTTGGGTGAGTACACAATTTACAGGAAATTCCTTCATAGTTCCTATTCTTAATCTATTACCAAACTGAGTTTTCTGCTTAGAAATGAGTGTTTGTCACTACCAAAAATATTCTGTTCCCATCTGGTCATCTTTATTTGTCAATATCATGTGAGTTACTGCGATAGATAATTTTAGTTTTATCTATACACAATTTTTTGTTGCCCTAAAAGTAAATGTTCAAGGTACTTACCTTTCACTTTTCAATTTTGATTGTTGTCTAATTTTTTTTTTGGTTTTTTTTTTTTTTTGAGACAGGGTTTCTCTGTGGTTTTGGAGCCTGTCCTGGAACTAGCTCTTGTAGACCAGGCTGGTCTCGACCTCACAGAGATCTGCCTGCCTCTGCCTCCCAAGTGCTTTGATAAATGCGTGTGCCACCACCGCCCGGCAATTGTTGTCTAAATTTAAAGAATATTTTTAGATCATTTATTCATGCCCTTCATAGATGTGTGAGTCTCTGAATTGAATCTCGCTTGTTTAGCTTTCTTCCTGACCATTATCTATATAATTTGTAATAACACTCTAAACAAAGAAAAACATCCATAAACTATGTTTTTTGGGAATGCAGGCTTAGTTTTCCTGGATACATACTGCTGATTGGGGGTGATGTTAATCTTACAGGACCTAAAGATAATTTGGAATTACGGTCAAATCCTGACTGACAAATTCCATGAGGCTTGATTATCCCAGCTAGCAGTCTTGGAACTGTTCTGGATGTAGAACTCAGAGGAAACTCCAAAAGAGGTCCTCTGAAACGTTGGATCATCTGGGCCATCTGCTCCTATGGCGATTTCTCACGGGGTTCCTTGATGAAACCTCAGCTTTCTTTCTTTCTTTCTTTCTTTCTTTCTTTCTTTCTTTCTTTTTGTTTTTCGAGACAGGGTTTCTCCATAGCTTTTGGTTCCTGTCCTGGAACTATCTCTTGTAGACCAGGCTGGCCTTGAACTCATAGAGATCCACCTGCCTCTGCCTCCAGAACGCTGGGATTAAAGGCGTGCGCCACCACCGTCCGCCAGTAAAACCTGAGTGTTCTTACCCAGAATGAATCCACGACCTCTCATTTCTTGTGGAAACAAAAACAAAATCTCTTCTCCAAAGTAACATATATTTTGACATAAATTTTGAGGTCAAAGCGTTTTCAAAATATGTATGTTGGATTAATCCAGCAACATTTATAATCAAATGTTTTTTAGCAGCTGTTGCTCCTTTTTCAGCATTAAAACAATTCAAAGAGAACATAATAACATATAGTATCCAGATTGTCTGTTTGTTTTCCTTCTTTATGTGGCTTTAGTTTAAATTCTATTTCATTTATTTTTAATTTTTGGCTTTTTGAGACAGGGTTTCTCTGCGTATCTTTGGCTGTCCTGGAACTCACTCTGTAGATCAGGCTGTCCTTGACTCACAGAGATCTGCCTGTCTCTGCCCTTCAAGAGCTGGGATTAAAGGTGTGTGCCACCATACTATGAACTCACAGAGATCAGCCTGCATCTGCCTCCCAAGTGCTGGGATTAAAGGTGTTTGCCTCCACAAATTGAACTCAAAGAGGTTAGCCTTTCTCTGCTTGCCAAGTGTTGAGATTAAAGGTCCGAGGTCTCAAACCAGAGGAAAAAGGGAGAAGGAGCTGATAAACAAGAATTCCTTGCTTTTACTTCCTTATTTTGGAGACCATGAGACCAGCTAACTCAAGCTTATGCCACCATTTCTTGAATTATGAGTCAACATAAATTCTTATTCTTTTTAGGCATTTGCAGCAAAAACAAGACAAGTAGCTAAGGTTGCCTTCATGTGTTAAGAGAAGGGACAATGGGATATTAATGAGTAAGATGCTACAACCAGAAAGCAAAACATTTACTAGGGATCCTGTTTTTTGGAGATTGTTCTCTTGAATAGACAAGCAAAGAGGGAAGTGTTAAACCAAATAGATCTGTAGTAAAAGACCAACTTGTGTACTTGAAGTACCTTGATCACACCAGTGTAAATTTATTCATAAACACTGAGAGAGCCTGTCTCAGACCATGAACAAAGTTCTTAGTTTGAATGGAGTCTCTGAAAAAAATGCAGATCTTAGGTCACAAAGACTCATCATATCAATCTCTATTCATGTGAAGAACAGTGAAATAGAAAAAATTAGTAACTGCAATCCTATGCTTATTTTGATTTTTGGTCACCAAAAACTGAAGAGTGTTTTGTTTTAGACATAACAATTACAACTTTAATCAAATTTTGTGAAGTATTTTCCTTCTCTTGTTCTAATAATAGTAATTCTGATTTTCTTCCTTCAGCAAAATGGAGTCAGGCCTCTCACAAGCCTTCGTTGAAGAACTCAAGTGCTTCATCTGCATGAGCTACTTTATAGACCCAGTCACCATAAGCTGTGGCCACAGCTTTTGTCGAGCCTGCCTCCATCTTTCCTGGGAAGACAGCGAGCTCCCTGTCCAATGTCCTATGTGTAGGGAACCATCCCAGCAGAATAACTTAAGAACCAACATTGTTCTGAAGAAGTTGGTGTCCATTGCCAGACAAGCCAGCCTCATGAAGTTCCTGAGCTCTGAGGAGCATCAGTGTGTGACCCACAAGGAGACCAAGGGGATCTTCTGTATGGAGACCAGGATCTACCTCTGTCAGCTCTGCTCTGACTCCCAGGAGCACAAAGGTCACAAACATTGTCCCATCGAAGCAGCTGCTGAGGGTGAAATGGTGAGTGATGCTCCTGAGAGAACATGAAACCTGGAGAGTGAGGCTCAGTGGACAACAGGAAGATGCTGGTCCTGATTATGAGGAATCCACTCTCTTCTGAATGGTGGCACTTTATTAGCAGCTAGTGAACACTGCTTGGGAGACCCGTGGGTGTAAAGACCACTTGTGTTTTATTTTACATTATTTCCAGGTCATTGGAAAGTGAAATAGTGTATTCATAATTTTTTAAAAGTGTCTATGATTGGAGATTATATTAGAAAATCCAGTGAAGTCAGTTATAGAGAAGCTTGTGGGAAACCCAATGTTATGTAAATTACCCAGATATTACTCATAATTATTTATCACTTTACCTGAATTAAGGGATATGCCATATTCTATTTATATGTCTTAAATCTAAAATTCAAAGTTACCTGAATTAAAAAAGGAACATTATGATTCTTCTTGATAAAGTTATTTTATTTAATGTTCGAAAGTCTGCCCATCATTACTGTTTATCAAAAGCTTATATTCATTGTTTCTTACAGGAGAGACTTCTAAAGCAAATGGCATCTTTATGGGAGAAGATCCAAGAAATTCAAGAGAATGTAGATGCAGAGAGCATTTCCAAAATTTTGTTTATAGTGAGTATGAGATTTATGCTGGAAATCTGTTCAAGATACTTATTTTGTCAAATCGTCATTCAAGATTTAGGTATAAGGCATGAAATATGTTACTAGGAAAACATGTAATGATGGCCTTCTTCTTTTTTTTTGGATTTTTCGAAACAGGGTTTCTCCGTATTTTTTTTTTTTTTTTTTTTTTTTTTTTTGTTCCTGTCCCGGAACTAGCTCTTGGAGACCAGGCCGGCCTCGAATACACAGAGATCCGCCTGCTTCTGCCCCCGAGTGCTGGGATTAAAGGCGTGTGCCACCACCACCCGGCTAATGGCCTTGAATTCTGAGTGTGAAATTTGGCTCTGCAGGTGGAAAGATGGCCTGGTTGTATTGAAAAAGAGTCTGGACAAATGAATCAATTGCTCACAGTTCAGCACACTGCATTAGACTCTAGGACTGCACCATATATTCTAATTAATGCATGCAGAGTTTAACATTTGCCTGAACATATAAATTATCAATCAATACCATTTCTTCAGGCAGCCCTGTTTTTCTATATAGGTGAAAATGTTTAGGGCTTCATTGCTTTAGTATTGATGGAGGCTGCTTGTTCTTTCTTGGCCACCCAATACCAAAATAACCATGATGAAGCTATACTAATTATAACACTGCTCAGCCAATTAGCTCAGGCTTCTTTTTTTTAATGAAAGAAAAGAAAAAAGAAATTCCCGCCTCCTCCCAGCCTCCCATTTCCCTCCCCCTCCTCCCACTCCTCTCCCCTCCCCCCACTCCTCTCCCCCTCCCTCTCCAGTCCAAAGAGCAGTCAGGGTTCCCTGCCCTGCGGGAAGTCCAAGGTCCTCGCCCCTCCATCCAGGTCTAGGAAGGTGAACATCCATACTGGCTAGGCTCCCACAAAGCCAGGACATGAAGTAGGATCAAAACCCAGTGCCATTGTCTTTGGCTTCTTATCAGCCCTCATTGTCTGCCATATTCAGAGAGTTCAGTTTTAGCCCATGCTTTTTCAGTCAAAGTCCAGCTGGCCTTGGTGAGCTCCCAGTAGATCAGCCCCACTGTCTCAGTGGGTGGGTGCACCCCTTGTGGTCCTGACTTCCTTGCTCATGTTCTCCCTCCTTCTGCTCCTCATTGGGACCTTGGGAGCTCAGTCCGATGCTCTAGTGTGTGTCTCTGTCTCTATCTCCATTCATCGCCAGATGAAGGTTCTATGGTGATATGCAAGATATTCATCAGTATGGCTATAGGATAGGGTCATTTCAGGTTCCCTATCCTCAGCTGCCCAAGGAGCTAACTGGGGACCTCGCCTTGGGCACCTGGGAGCCCCTCTAGGTCCAAGTCTCTTGCCAACCCTAAGATGGCTCCCTTAATTAAGTTATGTGATTCCCTGCTCCTCTATCCAACCTTCCTTTCTCCTAATCATCCCGTTTCCCCAAGTTCCCCCATTCTTTCCTTCTTACTTTTCTCTCCCTATCTCCCTTTACTCCCGTCCCACCCCACCCCCATGTTCCCAATTTTTTGCCCGGCAATCTTGTCTACTTCCCATACCCAGGATAACAACTTTGTTTTTCTTTGGGTTCACCTTCTTATTTAGCTTCTTTAGGATCACAGATTATAGACTCAATGACCATAATTTGTGGCTAGAAACCAATTATGAGTGAGTACATCCCATGTTCCTCTTTTTGGGTCTGGGATAATTCACTCAGGATAGTGTTTTCTATTTCCATCCATTTGCATGCAAAATTTGAGAAGACATTGTTTTTTACCGCTGAGTAGTACTCTAATGTGTAAATATTCCACACTTTCTTCATCCATTCTTCTATTGAAGGACATCTAGGTTGTTTCCAGGTTCTGGCTATAACCAATACTGCTGCTATGAACATAGTTGAAGAAATACTTTTGTCATATGATAGGGTATCTCTTGGGTATATTCCCAAGAGTGGTATTGCTGGGTCCAGGGGTAGGTTGATCCCGAATTTCCTGAGAAACCGCCACACTGATTTCCAAAGTGGTTGCACATGTTTGCATTCCCACCAGCAATGGATGAGGGTACCCCTTCCTCCACAACCTCTCCAGCAAAGGCTATCATTGGTGTTTTTGACATTAGCCATTCTGACAGGTGTAAGATGATATCTCAAAGTTGTTTTGATTTGCATTTCCCTGATTGCTAAGGAGGTAGAGCATGATCTTAAGTGTCTTTTGGCCATTTGAACTTCTTCTGTTGAGAATTCTCGGTTCAGTTCCGTGCCCCATTTTTTAATTGAGTTAATTAGCATTTTAAAGTCTAGTTTCTTGAGTTCTTTATATATTTTGGAGATCAGATCTTTGTCTGTTGCAGGGTTGGTGACGATCTTCTCCCAGTCAGTAGGTTGCCTTTTTGTCTTAGTGACAGTGTCCTTTGCTTTACAGAAGCTTCTTAGTTTCAATAGGTCCCTTTATTCAATGTTTCCCTTAATGTCTGTGCTGCTGGGGTTATTTACACATAGGAAGTGATATCCTGTGCCTATCTGTTGTAGTGTACTTCCCACTTTGTCTTCTATCAGGTTCAGTGTGTTCCGATTGATATTGAGGTCTTTGATCCATTTGGACTTGAGTTTTCTGCATGGTGATAGATATGGGTCTATTTTCATTCTTCTACAGGTTGACATCCAGTTGTGCCAGCACCATTTGTTGAAGATACTTTCTTCCAATGTATGCTTTTAGCTCCTTTATCAAAAATGAGGTGTTCATAGTTTTGTGGGTTAAAATCCGGGTCTTCTATATGATTCCATTGGTCGACTTCTCTGTTTTTATGCCAATATCACACTATTTTCATTACTGTAGCTCTGTAATAGAGTTTGAAGTCAGGGATGGTAATGCCTCCAGAAGTTCCTTTATTGTATAAGATTGTTTTGGCTATCCTGGGTTTTTTGTTTTTCCATATAAAGTTGATTATTGTCCTCTCCAGATCTGTGAAGAATTTTGATGGGACCTTGATGGGGATTGCATTGAATCTATAAATTGCCTTTGGTAGAATTGCCATTTTTACTATGTTGATCCTCCCAATCCAAGAGCAAGGTAGATCCATCCATTTTCTGGTATCCTCTTCAATTTCTTTCTTCAATGCCTTAAAGTTCTTGTCAAATAGATCTTTTACTTCCTTGGTTATAGTTACCCCAAGATATTTTATGCTGTTTGTGGCTATCGTGAAAGGTGATGCTTCTCTGATTTCCCTCTCTGCTTCCATATCCTTTGTGTATAGGAGGGCGACTTATTTTTTGGAGCTGATCTTGTATCCTGCCATATTACTAAAGGTGTTTATCAGATGTAGGAGTTCTTTGGTGGAGTTTTTGGGGTCGCTTATGTACACTATCATATCATCTGCAAATAATGAAAATTTAACCTCTTCCTTTCCAATTCGAATCCCCTTGATTCCCTTATGTTGTCTTATTGCTATTGCTAAAACTTCGAGCACTATATTGAAGAGGTATGGAGACAGTGGACAGCCCTGTTGTGTTCCTGATTTTAGTGGAATGGCTTTGAGTTTCTCTTCGTTTAGTTTGATGTTAGCTGTCAGTTTGCTGTAAATAGCTTTTATTATATTTAGGTATGACTCTTGTATCCCTAATCTCTCCAAGATTTTTATCATAAAGGGATGTTGAATTTTGTCAAATGCTTTTTCAGCATCTAATGAAATGATCATATGGTTTTTTTTCTTTCAGTTTATTTATATGATGGATTACATTGATAGATTTTCATATGTTGAACCAGCCCTGCATCTCTGGGATGAAGCCTACTTGATCATAATGGATAATTTTTCTAATGTGTTCTTGGATTCGGTTTGCCAGTATTTTGTTGAGGATTTTTGCGTCGATGTTCATGAGTGGGATTGGCCTATTATTCTCTTTCTTGTTTGAGTCTTTGTGTGGTTTTGGTATCAGAATGACTGTAGCTTCATAAAAGGAATTTGGCAATGACTCTTCTGTTTCTATATTGTGAAATACATTAAGGAGTATAGGTATTAGGTCTTCTTGGAAGTTCAGGTAGAATTCGGCATTGAAACCATCTGGTCCTGGGCTTTTTTTTGGTAGGGAGGTTTTTGATAACAGTTTCTAATTCTTCGCGTCTAACAGGTCTATTTAGATTGTTCACTTGGTCCTGGTTTAACTTTGGTATATGTTATTTATCTAAAAAGTGCCCATTTCTTTTACATTTTCCAGTTTTGTGGCATACAGGCTTTTGTAGTAAGATCTAATGATTCTCTAAATTTCCTCTGTGTGGTTATATCCCCCTTTTCATTTCTGATCTTATTAATTTGCATATTCTCTCTCTGCCGTTTGATTAGTTTGGATAGGGGTTTATCAATCTTGTTGATTTTCTCCAAGAACCAGCTCTTTGTTTCATTGATTCTTTGGATTGTTTTCTGTGTTTCTATTTTATTGATTTCAGCCCTCAGTTTGATTATTTCCAGTCTTCTACTCCTCCTAGGTGAGTCTGCTTCTTTTTTTTCTAGAGCTTTCAGGTGGGCTGTTAAGTCTCCAATGTGTGTTTTCTCCGTTTTCTTTAAGTGGGCATTTAGTGCTATGAGCTTTCCTCTTAGGACTGCTTTCATAGTGTCCCCATGAGTTTGAGTATGTTGTTTCTTTATTTTCATTGAATTCAAGGAAGACTTTAATGTCTTTCTTTATTTCTTCTTTGATCCAGGTGTGGTTCAGTAGTTGACTGTTCAGTTTCCATGAGTTTGTAGGCTTTCTGGGGGTAGCATTGTTGTTGAATTCTAACTTTAATCCATGGTGATCTGATAAGACACAGGTGGTTACTAATATTTTTTTGTAACTGTGGAGGTTTGCTTTGTTACCGAGTATGTGGTCAATTTTCAAGAAGGTTCCATGAGCTGCAGAGAAGAAGGTATATTCTTTCCTGTTTGGGTGGGATGTTCTATAGATGTCTGTTAAGTCCATTTGATTCATTACCTCCATCAGTTCTCTTATTTCTCTATTAGGTTTCTTTCTGTCCATTGGTGAGAGAGGAGTGTTGAAGTCTCCTACTATTAGTGTGTGCCGTTTGATGGCAGCCTTGAGTTTTAGTAATGTTTCTCTTACGTACGTGGGTGCTTTTATATTAGGGGCATAGATATTCAGGATTGAGACTTCATCCTGATGAATTGTTCCTGTTATGAGTATAAAATGTCCCTCTCCATCTCTTCTGATTGATTTAAGTTTGAAGTCAACTTTGTTAGAAATTAGTATGGCCACACTTGCTTGTTTCTTGGGTCCATTTGCTTGATAAGCCTTTTCCCAGCCCTTTACTCTGAGTAAGTGCCTATCTTTGTGGTTGAGGTGTATTTCTTGTAAACAGCAGAATGTTGGTTGGATCCTGTTTTCGTATCCAATCTCTTAGCCTGTGCCTTTTTATAGGTGAGTTGAGTCCATTGACATTAAGTGATATTAATGACCAGTGGTTGTTAACTCCGGTCACTTTTTTAGTAGTAGAGTTTGTGTGTTTCCCTTCTTTGAGTTGCGCTGGTGAAGGGTCTCTAGATGTTTGAGTTATTGTGGTCATTGTTGGACTCCTTGGTTTGTGATTTTCCTTCTATTACTTTCTGTAAGGCTGGATTTGTGGCTATGTATTGTTTAAATTTGTTTTTATCCTGGAAAATTTTGTTTTCTCCATTTATAGTGAACGGAAGCTTGGCTGGGTATAGTAGTCTGGGCTTGCATCCATGGTCTCTTTGTTTCTGCAGAACAGCTATCCAGGACCTTCTGGCTTCCATGGTTTCCGTAGAGAAGTCAGGTGTAAGTCTGATAGGTTTACCTTCATAAGTAACTTGGCCCTTTTCCTTTGCAGCTCTTAATATTCTTTCTTTATTCTATATGCTTTGTGCTTTGATTATTATATGGCAAGGGGATTTTTTTTTTGATCCAGCCCATTCGGTGTTCTGTATGCTTCTTGAACCTTCATAGGTACATCTTTCTTTAGGTTGGGACAGTTTTCTTCTATAATTTTATTAAATATATTTTCTGGACCATTGAGCTGCACTTCTTCTTCTTTTACTCCTATTATTCTTAGGTTTGGTCTTTTTATTGTGTCCCATATTTCCTGAATGTTTTGTGATGAGAGTTTGTTGGACTTGCTGTTATCTTTGATCAGTACGTTTATTTTCTCTATGTTATCTTCAGAATCTGAGATTCTTTCTTCTATCTCTTGTATTCTGCTGGTTATGCTTGTTTCTGTAGTCTCCATGCATTTACCTAGATTTTCCATGTCCAGCTGGCCCTCAGTTTGTGTTTTCTTCCTTGTCTCCAATTCAGTTGTCATGTCTTGAACTGTTTCCATTATCTGTTTGATTGTTTTTCCTTGGTTTCCTAGGGTATCATTCACTGCTTTATTCAATTCTTCAAACTTTCTGTTATACTTCTCATCCATTTCTATAAGGGCATTTTTTACATGCTGTTTAAGTACGTCAATCACTTTCATAAAGTCCATTTATTTTCTTCTTCTTCTTGATTAAGGTGTTCATGTCCTCCTGTTGTGAGGTCGCTGGGTTCTTCTGGTGGTTTCATGTTGTTTTTCAGATTGTTGGGTGAATTCTTCTTGCATTGGCGCCTGCCCATCTTTTCCTCCGAATGCTCCCCTAAGGATCTTCTTTTACAGGATCAGGTCTCCTTGCCCACTGATATACCTTCCCAGTGATGACACTCTCCTGTGATGGCTCTTTAGGTGGCCCAGTGATGGCTCTCCTGGTCCCGAGATCAGGTCTCCGTGCTGGTTGGGTAGCTCATAAACAAAGCGCCTACCTTGCTTGCTGCAGGCAGGCTATTGAAACAAAGGAATTCCCGCCCTCCTGGCTGCCCTCCGGATTCGATCCCAGCGCCCAGACAGGCTGAGCTGGGTCTAGTTTAGCTCAGGCTTCTTATTAACTAACTCTTATATCTTAAATTAACCAATACCTATTTTTTGTGTATTACCATAAAGCTCATATTTTACTGGTAAGGTTCTGGCTGGTGGCTCGTGTCTTTCTCCTTTGGTGGCTACATGGCATCTCTTTGAGTCTGGCTACTTTCTTCTTTATGTCTGCTTGGAACTCCCACCTTGCATTAATCTTCCCTGCCATAGACCCAAAGAAGCTTCTTTATTAACCAATGGTAACAAAACACTTTCACAGCATACAGAGGGGAATCCCATATACCTCCCCTTTTCTGTCTAAATTAAAAGGAAGGTTTTAACTTTAACATAGTAAAATTACATGTAACAAAATAGGTATAAAGCATGAATTACAGTTCCAATATTCATATCTACTTTACATTTATCATAACTAAGGAAAATTATAATTATAACTATCTATTCTTCAAGTCCATCAAAGATCCCAGATGGCTAGAGTATTACTTAAGTTAACAGGAAGTGCATTGTAAATAACTTCCAAAACTCTAGAGTTGACAGAGACATCTTGCTACCTTTACAGTCACCCAAAGTTCTGTAACTTTGGGGCGTCTATCTTCAGCCTACAGACCCCATAGTATCTAGTAGACACTTTCATTAAGCAGGAAATTTGAAAGATTGTTTTACCTAAGAAACAAATGAAACCAAGGAATTTCCATTTCTGACATGTCCATCATTGTGTATGTAGCACAGCAATAGGAGTCTTTGTCAAATTTAAGCCTAGAATGATGCAATGGAGGAGACTGCAGTATTCTATAGATATCATTGACAACGTCCCGTTTTCTTCAGGACTATGTGCTTATGAGGGAAGACATGATCAGGATGGAGTATAGGAAATGGCGTGCAGTCCTCTGTGAAGAGGAAGAGGAACACATTGAGCACATGAGAAATGATGGCTATCGTGTTTTAGAGAAATTAAGAGAAAGTGAAGCCATGATGATCCAGAAGAGCAAACAACTAAGAGAAATGTTTCAGGAACTCAGGGCGATGTCCCAGGAGCCATATGTGGTACTACTCCAGGTGAGAAGGGAGGAGTGCAGACAAAGGTTTTATTGTCTTAGGCTCACACTGGTGATTGTTATACTAAGATTATTTTTTAACATTTCCTGCATTTATTTTAGGAGGTTCTTTTTCAGTGATAATCTGGAAAAACTAAATTCTGTAACAATCTTGCCAGAACAAGATTTTTTTTTATAAAAATTGTGTTAGTAGATTCTCCAAGGAATATGACCTAATTTTTGATTTTGTAACTTGCCTCTCTGAAAGCCAAAATTCAGTGTTGCCATTTCTTACACTCTATAGCTTCTACTTGGATATTGTGCACAATTTCAAAGAATGCTATTACTTAATTTCTTTTTGAATGTTGTACTTGTGAGAGATCTTTAGGAGGATGGGATTTTGAGATAGGGTTCTAGTCCATGGATCACGATCACCCAGAGCTCACAATAATCTTAGGGTCTCTATCCTGGCAATTCTGTAATTAAAGGCATGAGGCAGCATGCATGGGAGAGGTCATCCATTTGAAGTACCCTTAGTTAAAGTATCCCTCTGTGCTCTTTTGTTCAGATTAGTGAATGCTACCTTTTGCAGACAGCTGGGGTTTCACCATCAATGTATATTCGGTACCCCAGTATTCTCATAATTTACTCTCACTGCCTCATTTCATCAAGAATTAGAATTGTGCTAATCTGCTTGTTGGCATTACCCTGCTAATTAAATATAAATTTTCAGTTTAGACAGGCTATTTGCCTGCCTTTTATATGAATTTTATAAACAAAATTTAGGATTCTAAATTTATCTTGCTTCCTTTGCAGGGTTTGGATGACATATTCAGAAGGTGAGTTTAGCCATCTGTGCAAGCCTGGATTCCCTGAAATTGTTGTGAAACGGGTTAAGCAGATTTAGAAAACCTTGAGTATAACATGTTATAGATGTTTAAATATTACTTGTTATATTCATGTGGAGTGTGTGTGTGTTCATGTTCATGCACAAGTAGCAGTGCACACATGTGGAGGTCAGAGGACAACTTTCAGGAGAAAGATTTTTCCTTCCACTATGGGTTCCAGGGATTGAACTCATGTTGTCAGGCTGTTTGGCAAGGGAATTGACCCAAGAGCCATTTGGCTAAGTTGGAGTGAGGTTTTTCCTAATCAACTGTGATGATATCTTTAGCATCAGGCAAATCAATATTTTCTTGTCCTTACAGGAGTGAGTCAATGCAGTTGAGCATTCCCCAGGGTTTGGAACCAGAGCTCTCCGCCTTCCCCATGATTGGACTCACTGAAAGATTCAAGTCCTTCAAAGGTGAGTGTGAGCAATGATGGATATAGGAGAGGTGCCCTTACACAGTACGCTAACCTTTGCAAACACAAATATTTTAACACCCGAGAAATTCGTCTTGTTTATTCATATTGTAATCTTCTTAATTACTTGGTTATCTTAAAACAAAGAAACAAAAATGAATACCAGTACATCAGGTTGTGTGTGATACTAACTGTATAGAGAGTATCAGTTTTTAATTGATGCCTAAGGAATGATTAATTGAGGACAGTCTAATTCAAATTAAGAGCCCCCACTGGTGGAGATATTTGATTATGTTCCTTTGTACACTTTAGTAATTGATTTCTTATATTAACATTATGATTCATAGATTAAAAATACACAAGATATAGTTGTGCATGGTAGTAATCCCATCAATATCATAGAGAGGAGTGCCAGTGACTTTGAGGACAGTCTTGTCAACATAGTGAGTTTCATGCCAGTCAAGTTTAAATAGTAATACCCTATCTCAAGGAACTGAAAAAGAAAAATCACAAAATAATGAAACAGATAAAGCCCCGTATCATGAGCAATGAATATAAAACTAGTTGATAGGACATGAGGCAGTTTCTAAATCACCCTTGTAGATCTAAAAGTCAATTTCAGCCGGGTGGTGATGGTGTAAACTTTTAATCCCAGTACTCGGGAGGCAGAGGCAGGCAGATTTTTGTGAGTTTGAGGCCAGTCTAGTTAGTGTACAAGAGCTAGTTCCAGGACAGGCTCCAAGGCTACAGAGAAACCCTGTCTTGAAAAACAAACAACAACAACAAAAAGTTAATGTCAACCTCACAAGGAAAGAGTATCAGAGGAACCAGAGGTTAAAGGAGGTCAATTAGTAACAGGGATTTACTTCTAAAGTATATTTAGCTCCTTCTTTAGTATAAATATGATTAATTACATGGAAAGACCAACACCAATATGAAAGCAACCATTGCCCATATTTTAGGAATATCTTCTTATGTAGACCAAGGAGGGCAGCCTTTGCTGTGGCCCTGACTGCATGCAGTACACACATCTTCCCTTTGTCAGGTGTAACTAGAAGTCACCTGTCAGAGGTAGGCTGAGGCTCCCTCATCTACAGCACCTACAAAATGTTTCATAAAACTTTTCATCATGCTACCACTCTGTTTCTTGCCCTAATTCTTGGCTTTGATGAATTTAACCTTTAGTCCAAGCCAGTTTTTGAAAACCAAGAAGATTCACAGGACCTCTGTCACCTCAGAAATACAAATGGTCATTTTAACTAAAATGTTTATTCTTTCCACAGCGCGCCTTTTCTTTGAAAATCTATTCATGTTCCTTTGCATGAAGAACCTATTTAATGTCATGAGAAGAGCCCGTTTCAGACCTCAACATCAGGATACATCTGAGGAAATTTGTGGATGCTATTTGGCCTCATGGGGATTACAGAGCATCAGCACAGGGAAATATTACTGGGAAGTGAATTTCAAGGCCTCTTGGGACTGGACTGTAGGAGTCTGTACCAATTCCTGGTTAAAAAATAGAAACAAAGAAGTTGACACTAAGGGCGCATTCCTCCTTTTCTGTGTGAAGGAGGAGGGTAATCATTACAGTCTCCTCACTACGAACCCAACAATCCATCACTATATAGAGAAGCCACTGGGCAGGGTTGGTGTGTTCCTTGATTGTGAGGCTAGATGTTTAAGTTTCCTGAATATTGCCAAGAGTTCCCTCATATACAAATATCCTAATGGCACGTTCAGTCGCCGTGTCTGGCCTTTCTTCTCCTTTGGTCAAATAATACCATAGGAAGTTGTAATCCAGTATTGATTGTTTTTAAAATATTTCCTACTGTAATGTTATCAGTTTTATTGCTATTAAATATTAAAATACTATTAAGTGAAAAAGAGGGTTGACTACATTGTATTTTCATCTGTTGTCTCCATATTCCACAACGAACACTTCAACGGCTGGGGGACCGGGTGGGACAGAAACCCCAAAAAGCAAGACCTCATGTTACACACTTCCTTCCATAGTGGTCTTGTCTTTGTGTATCTGTTTGTTTTTGCAAAGTTGTCAGAATTATTCATTAGGACTAAGACTTGAGATCAGTGCTAGAGCCCTTTTTTAGTGTGTGTAAGGCCCTCAGTTGAATTCTTTTTTTAAAATTTTTTAATTTTTTTTATTGAAAAAAAATTTCCGCCTCCTCAAACCCTCCCACTCCTCTCCCTCTCCCCCACTCCTCTCCCCCTCCCTCTCCAGTCCAAAGAGCAGTCAGGGTTCCCTGCCCTGTGGAAAGTCCAAAGTCCTCCCCCCTCCATCCTGGTCTAGGAAGGTGAACATCCATACTGGCTAGGCTCCCACAAAGGCAGAACATGAAGTAGGATCAAAACCCAGTGCCATTGTCTTTGGCTTCTCATCAGCCCTCATTGTCTACCATATTCAGAGAGTCCAGTTTTATCCCATGCTTTTACAGTCACAGTCCAGCTGGCCTTGGTGAGCTCCCAGTAGATAAGCCCCACTGTCTCCGTGGGTGGGTGCACCCCTCGCATCCTGACTTCCTTGTTCATGTTCTCCCTCCTTCTGCTCCTCATTGGGACCTTGGGAGCTCAGTCCAGTGCTCCAGTGTGGGTCTCTGTCTCTATCTCCATCCATCACCAGATGAAGGTTCTATGGTGATAGCAAGATATTCATCAGTATGGCTATAGGATAGGATCATTTCAGGTTCCCTATCCTCAGCTGCCCCAGGAATTAACTGGGGACCTCGCCTTGGGCACCTGGGAGCCCCTCTAGGTCCAAGTCTCTTGCCAACCCTAAGATGGCTCCCTTAATTAAGATGTGCTTCCCTGCTCCCCTATCCAACCTTCCTTTATCCCAATCATCCTGTTTCCCCAAGTTCTCCCCATCCTACCCTTCTCACTTTTCTCTCCCCATCTCCCCTTTCCCCCCTCCCACCCCACCCCCAAGATCCCGATTTTTTGCCCGGCAATCTTGTCTACTTCCCATACCCAGGAGGATAGCTATATGTTTTTCTTTGGGTTCACCTACTTATCTAGCTTCTTTAGGAAGCTGGTTCCTGGAGAAAATCAACAAGATTGATAAACCCCTATTCAAACTAATCAAACGGCAGAGAGAGAATATGCAAATTAATAAGATCAGAAATGAAAAGGGAGACATAACCACAGACACAGAGGAAATTCAAAGAATCATTAGATCTTACTACAAAAGCCTGTATGCCACAAAACTGGAAAATGTAAAAGAAATGGACACGTTTTTTTTTTCCCAGTGGTAGAGTATTTTCTTTTTTTTTTTATTGAGAAAAGGAGAAAAAAAAGTTTCCACTTCCTCCCAGCCTCCCATTTCCCTCCCCCTCCTCCCACCCTTCTCCCCCTCCTCCCATCCTTCTCCCCCTCCTACCACTCCTCTCCCCCTCCCTCTCCAGTCCAAAGAGCAGTCAGGGTTCCCTGCCCTGTGGTAAGTCCTAGGTCCTCCCCCCTCCGTCCATATCTAGGAAGGTGAACATCCAAACTGGCTAGGCTCCCACAAAGCCAGCACATTAAGTAGGATCAAAACCTACTTGTCCTTGGTGTCTCATCAGCCCTCATTGATCGCCATGTTCAGAGAGTCCAGTTTTATCCTATGCTTTTTCGGTCACAGTCCAGCTGGCCTTGGTGAGCTCCCAGTAGATCAGCTCCACTGTCTCAGTGAGTGGGTGCACCCCTCGTGGTCCCGACATCTTTGCTCATGTTCTCCCTCCTTCTGTTCCTCATTGGGACCTTGGGAGCTCAGACCAGTGCTCCATTGTGGGTCTCTGTCTCTATCTCCATCCATCACCAGATGAAGGTTCTATGATGATATGCAAGATATTCGTCAGTATTGCTCTAGGATAGGGTTGTTTCATGTTCCCTATCCTCAGCTGCCCAACGAACTAACTGGGAACCTCAGCTTGGGCTGGATAAGTTTTTAGATAAATACCATATACCAAAGTTAAACCAGGACCAGGTGAACAATCTAAATAGACCTGTTAGTCGCGAAGAATTAGAAGCTGTTTTCAAAAACCTCCCTACCAAAAAAAGCCCAGGACCAAATGGTTTCAATACCGAATTCTACCAGAACTTCCAAGAAGACCTAATAGCTATACTCCTTAATGTATTTCACAATATAGAAACAGAAGAGTCATTGCCAAATTCCTTTTATGAATCTACAGTCACTCTGATACCAAAACCACACAAAGACTCAACCAAGAAAGAGAATAACAGGCCAATCTCACTCATGAACATCGACGCAAAAATCCTCAACAAAATACTGGCAAACCGTATCCAAGAACACATTAGAAAAATTATCCATTATGTCAAGTAGGCTTCATCCCAGAGATGCAGGGCTGGTTCAACATACGAAAATCTATCAATGTGTGCTGGAGAGATGGCTCAGTGGTTAAGAGCATTGCCTGTTCTTCCAAAGGTCCTGAGTTCAATTCCCAGCAACCACATGGTGGCTCACAACCATCTGTAAAGAGGTCTGGTGCCCTCTTCTGGCCTGCAGACATGCACACAGACAGAATATTGTATACATAATAAATAAATAAATTAAAAAAAGAAAATCTATCAATGTAATTCATCATATAAATAAACTGAAAGAAAAAAAACCATATGATCATTTCATTAGATGCTGAAAAAGCTTTTGACAAAATTCAACATTCCTTTATGATAAAAGTCTTGGAGAGAATAGGTCAAGGTATTACAAGGGTCATACCTAAATATAATAAAAGCTATTTACAGCAAACCGACAGCTAACATCAAACTAAACGAAGAGAAACTCAAAGCCATTCCACTAAAATCAGGAATGCGGCAAGGCTGTCCACTCTCTCCATACCTCTTCAATATAGTGCTTGAAGTTTTAGCAATAGCAATAAGACAACATAAGGGGATCAAGGGGATTCGAATTGGGAAGGAAAAGGTTAAACTTTCGTTATTTGCAGATGATATGATAGTGTACATAAGCGACCCCAAAAACTCCACCAAAGAACTCCTACATCTGATAAACACCTTTAGTAATGTGGCAGGATACAAGATCAGCTCCAAAAAATAAGTCGCCCTCCTATACACAAAGGATATGGAAGCAGAGAGGGAAATCAGAGAAGCATCACCTTTCACGATAGCCACAAACAGCATAAAATATCTGGGGTAACTCTAACCAAGGAAGTGAAAGATCTGTTTGACAAGAACTTTAAGGCATTGAAGAAAGAAATTGAAGAGGATACCAGAAAATGGAAGGATCTCCCTTGCTCTTGGATTGGGAGCATCAGTTGAATTCTAACCTTATAAAATATCTATAACTCTATATGTGTGTATACACATATGCAATCATGTACACTTGCTATACAACATTTTACTACCTTTTTGGTGCCAATCAGGAACACAGATGTGCTGGTTATTTTTATTCCAATTTGAAACAGGTTACAATCATGTGGTAGAAGGGAACCCCATTGAGAAAATGCCCCTATAAAAACTAACTGTGTGTGCAAGCGTAGTTATTGATGAGGAAGGGAGTAGACTATTGTTGGCAGGGTTTTCCCTGGGATGGAGGTTCTGGGTTCTATAGGAAAGCAGACTGAGCAAGCCAGTAATAAGGATCACTCCATCACTTGTGCCTTAATTCTTTCCGGCATGTTCCTGCCCTATGTGAGTTCTGGTCCCGACCTCCTTTGATGATGCACAACGATATGGTAGTGTAAACCAAATAATCCCTTTCTCTGCATGTTTGTTTTGTTAAGGTGGTTTATCACAGCAATAATACGCCAAAATAAGACTATTCATTACCAGAATTGTGGGGTATTCTGGAATAAACTTAACCGTGTTGAATTGGGGTGGATTGTGGAAAGATTGATGATGTTTGGGCTAGAAAAGCCATTGGCTGTTAAGTTACCAGTGACCTGTTCTATAAGACCTTCAAGGTAAGAATATTGAGGTGTCTCTTTCATGGGCACCACACTAGAACCCACAGCTCTGGCAACTTATACTGGAAGCCAGAATTGTTCTATGGATCACAGAGAAGACACTGCCTACCATTCACTAAATACCTTTATCCCTGCCCAGCCTCCTCAGACTGAACCACCTCACTACCACACTAGGGTCCACAGCCTTGGCAAACTTACTGTAGGCCATGTTAGTCTTTGGAACCTTAGGTAATTTCTACTTTACACAAAATGGCTTTAAACCTGCACAATAATCCCATTCTCTGCAAGCACTTACACAGAGAGAGAGAGAGAGGAAGAGAGAGATAGAGAACCTGTGTGAGAGGGAGAGGGAGGGAGGGAGGGAGAGAGAGAGAGAGAGAGAGAGAGAGAGAGAGAGAGAGAGAACCTATCTGTTAGGCAATAATGCTTCCCTTTCTTCTTCTAGATAATGTTCAGTTCTAGGAGAAGGGAAAAACTGGAAAGAGCTTGGGGGAGTGGGAGGGTGGAGATGGGGGAAGGGCGAATATGGGAGCAGGTAAAAAGTTATCGACATTAAGGGAGCCATTTAAGGGTTGGCAAGAGACTTGCCTCTAGAGGGGATCCCAGGTGTCCACGGGGATGTCCCCAGCTAGGTCCTTAGACAGTAGAGGAGAGGGTGCCTGAATTGGCCTTGCCCCACTAACCCACTGCTGATTATCTCGAATATCACCATAGAATCTTCATCCGGCGATGGATGGAGATAGAGACAAAGTCCCTCATCAGAGCAACAGACTGAGCTCCCAAGGTCCAATTGAAGAGCAGAAGGTGGGAGTACACGAGCAAGGAAGTCTGGATCGCGAGGGATTGGTCTACC